AAATAATCGCATGAAAGAAACGCTCCCGTTGTGAAAGGACCTTTAGGGTTCAAATGACTCACCACATTCACAATGTGGACACTTTTTACTCATATTCGGCTCAGGAGGGTTAACTAAAATACTCCTATTTTGGCACTCTAACAGGACACTTAAGTGTTCAAGTAATGTTTCAGGAAGCTTAGGTTTCATGTGTCTAAGCTACTAATAGATCATATAGATTTTAAATGATGCTTTCTGCATGTGTATGACCTACGACCTGGGTTACAACAGAACAACATGACAGCATTTTAACTTTATTTCTAGCATGATCACAGAGGAGAGAGGCTGCCTTGAGAGTATTTTCAATTCAAACACGAGTGGGTTTTCATATCCTGACTGCATTACAACCATTCATATGCAGAGGCTCGTACGACTCCTCTGGGGAAATTAATATGGAGCGACAGGAGTGATAGGATGCTGTTGTAGTCGTGCAGGTACACCATAGGTCAGTGGAGTGGGAGGGATGGTATAGGATCTGCATTATAAACAGCCCGCTGTGTTAGGGTTCTCACCAATTCTCTGTTTGGAATACAGAAGAAATTATTAATATTAACGACTGTGAAGGGTACGAGATATTTTCCACCTCCTTTGGCATCAAGCTCTGGGTGTGTCAGTGCGTTTTAATGCAGGCTTTACAACCTACAAGTGGCGTATTTTTTCACATGAGAGGAGAGCCAGTACTCCACTCAGACACTCTGTGTTGTGTTTGTTTTGCTAATTTATCAGACAAGAGGAAGAGACAGGAGAGGGGGGCAAAGCAGGCTGGGGCAGCAACAGAGAAAGAGGCATCTGAGAGCTTTTTTTCCCAGGTGGGATTCAGTCCCGGCTAAAGGGGAAAAACGACACAGAAAAGACCAAACTGAAGCATAATGTGAGTTAATTAAGTGTTCTGGCTGATGACAGGCGGTTGGAAGGTAACTTGAACAGATGGGATTCCTGTGAAAAGAGGCTCTAATTTATAACTTTGACATGATTAAAACAGCTAATTTAATGTTTTAGAGTCACATAACAAAGCAGTTGGATGCAGTACTCTGTTGTTAAATTGCCAACACTCCCTCCCCTTCAGGCTGGAGCGCAGAGCAGCACATACACAAAGCATACAGGGTTCAGCACCATGGACAGTGACAACTATTGCTGGTCAGACTACAGCCAACAATTTTGTCTGGCATCCACACTGCTTCAGCTGATGAAGCTGGGAGAAAAAATACTGTTCCTGGCATAAATTCTATATTATTCACTCAATTTTCTTTTAGTGTTTTAGCATTTATCTCTTTATCTAGTTTTAAAATCAGGGTTGTCTTTTATTGAGCCATGTTGGTGCTCTTATTGTAGTATCTTTTACATTGTTTTTATTTCATTTTTATTTATTATTTCTTAAAATTCATTTTATTTTACTTTGTCTTTAGATTTTAACCCAGCCTCCAGTGTTTCCTCATCTTGAATTTTAAGATGGCTTTTCCTCAGTTCACATATTCCTGTTTTTTACTAAATCAGGCTCTTTTTAAATTAATGCATTTTTAAACTCGCTTCCTATTCAGGGGATTCAAGGAACTCTGTCATACCCTACACCTTTGACAGTCAGTGGTACGAAATTAGTACCCAGGTCTGTTTCCAAGCCAAGAATAGAAACATTACAATACAATAGATAAAATGTAATATAATAGCCAAGATGCAATACAATATAGAGCAAAATGTAAACAAAGAAAATTTAATTAGGCTGAAATTTGCCCTGTTGAACTAAAAGTTCCATGTGAAAGCAGCACCTTGGTTTTTGTGAAGTGATGTGGTGCAGGTTGTGCTTGGATTGTAGGGTTGGAATGAAGGGATGGAGATGGGGTGGGGTAGGGTGGGATATTCTTTCTTTTTCCTCTGCCGTGTAAAGCGGTTTATGCTACGTTGCCTAGTATAAAAAGTGCAATAAATATTAAGATTGATTGATCAAATTGTATCAAATGTGGAAATTTCATCATTCAAAGTAGATAATATTTAAAGATTGTCTGGAGAAATCTATGTACAAATGGAGAAGGCCAATATCTGGCTGTGATCTCTAAGTGAAACTGCAATAATACCAGATATGACTCTGCAGTGGGAATCACCACATGGGCTCAAAATCACCCCAAAACAGTGATTTTTGACCGCAGTTTGGCCCCACATCCATTAAGGCCGGTTAAAAACTTGATAAACAGGGAAACCATCCTCTGCTGTGACAAAATTTGACATCCTTTGTTGCAATCATGAACGCCACATTCTCTGTGCTGCACAAGAGCGGGGCGACCCTGCCAGTTAAAGCCAGCACCTGTGATGGTATGGGGGTGCATGAACACCTACAGCTTCAGTAGCACACATTTGCGAAAGGCCCCACTAATGAACGACACATAAAGGTTTTGGATCAGAAAATGCCTTATGCACGATAACACCAGAGCACATTTTGCTCTTGTTTCAACAGCATGGCTCATAGTAGAAGAGTCCAGGTGCTAAACTAGCCCCCCTGCATGTAGGATTTCTCACTTATTGAAAACATTTGGCACAACACATGACAAAATTATTATTATTAATTCAGTGAAACCCTATCAGATGGATAACATTTCACCTAAAAAACTCAATAAACTAGTCTCTTTTGGTTTCTCAGTGTTGTAAAAAGGAGAGGTGATGCAACAAAATGGTCATCGGCAGTGTGGGGAAACAACAAAGCCTGGTTAGCAAGCGCGAATGAGTGATTCAAAGCTGCCGTCTGAGAGTGTAATAATGAGTCATCATATCAGTTATCCTCTACAGAGCTGTTTCCTAAAGCCTTTACACAACAAATAAATAGATTAACAGTAATTTGATAAATGCATTTGCTTGATTAAGGGAAATATTGTCTTTAAGAGCCTCCTTCAGCTGTTATTTCTCACAGTGGGTTGAAGGTGCACGGTGACAAATCAGTGTTGCTCTCACAGCTGTTGCTTGGAGAAATATTTATCAATGGGTATGTGAAAGTGAATACACAGTGTTTTCGTTTCCATTCATTTTTCTGTGACCAGCGCCTTCCTAAATAAACAAAAAAGAGACAATACTTTTAGTTGGAGAAGAAAAAGATTACGTTTTGTGCACAGTACAGTGATCTTTGAAGGTCTTAAAATGAGCCTCAAAGGACTTAAAAGTACAAGATTATTATAAGATACCCCTTAAAAAGTCTGATCAGAAATATAAAAACAGCCTAAGACCATTAGAAATGCATTAAAAGTACATTAAGATAACCACATGAAGGGCTCTGACACTGCTAAATCTTCAACTTTCTAAACAAAACCTACTCTGGAAATCAAATAGTGAAAAGATTCTCTCATATCCTGATTTAAAATTGATGAAGCTGCACTGCTTTGGCCTTTCATCAATCATCCTGACGTCTGATCAGGGAGGAGTTCTCTGGTTTCCACGACATCAGGGGAAACTCAACACTGAATTCGGCTGAACAATCCCAGTAACAACAGTCAGATTCTGGCATGGACCAAATGTGAGGCAGGAAAAGGTGAGTCGAGGCTGCTTCACTGACCCTGGGAAAAACGTGTTTTCAACGGAATGGTGAACATATGGATCCATAAATGCATCCAGTAATCAAGATTTTAAACATTTGAATGAATTTAACATTTTCTGTGATTACTTTGATTTATTAGAAGACATTTACAATAATGTTAGTCTATTGTTCAAAATACAAATTTGTTTTTAAACAGATCAACAAATTTATGAGGTGATTAAACTTTTAGGTTTCAAGGCTCGAATGAGATTTTTTATTTTTTATTTCAACCATTATGAAATAGACTGAAAGTCATATTGATGTCCTCTTGTGATGTTTACAAGCAAACAAGACCATAAGTCATCAGGATGAAATTTTTTTGTCAATCCATACCTTTTTTAATTATTTCAAATCTTTTCAGTTCACTTAACTTTTCCTGAGATTGCATCAAATGATTAAATATTAAAAAAAACATTTTTTCAGACCTCGCTGGGTGAAGCCACTTCGAGAACAGCACCCTCTGTTGATGGGCTGCAGTATAGGTCATAAATCCCGCCTCTGCCAGCAAAGCTTATGAAGCTGTGAACAAACTTTAGAAATTTATTACACAGACTATAAATCCCCTCCCCCCCCAGTTTGCGATGTTGACATGTAGTTACTGTAAGACTGGTTTGTGCTCAAGTCCTCATGTTTTTATGATTGACACCTGATTCAGCCTATGGGTGTACGAAGATTGCGTAGCTGTTTGAGCCGAGCGTCATAACAACGACCCTCGGCGACTCTCCCACCAAATACGCACAATGCTACTGCACAATGTTGGTTTCGAGAAATAGAGAGAAAACGCAGATCTCCTGAGAGCTTTTTGGCTTCAAATCTGTATACTGGCGGAAGGTGTAACCAAGTTATCCGTAGTATTTACAGTCTATGGTTCCATCACATTTTTTTGGTATATTTTCAAGAGGTCCTTGAACATAACCTTGTTATTTTTACACTTTTAAGTAAATAGTTCTTCAGATTATTGATAATTTATATATATATATTTTTGCATTTTATGTTCTCAATGCAAAACATAGGCTATACACATTTAAAGAAGTGTCTTGGACAGAGAAATAGGCATTAACTCGTAGGTATTATTTTTCAGTTCTGATATTAAAGTAAATGTCTATCAAATCAACATTTAACTTTATGGTTGAATAATTATAAAATATTTAATTGAAAAAATTAAAGACGAACTTTTTCTTTATGGACTACTCAGGTAGGCAATTTTTAAAATGACTTTTATGAATTTATATCAAAAGGGAAAAAATATTTAGATATTTTGACCCAAATCAAGACAAAACATTATTATTGTTTTTGTTCTTGTTTATTATTATTATTATTGTTATTATTATTATTATTATTATTATTATTATTATTATTATTATTATTACTATTAACAACAGAGGCAGGGGGGTAGAGAGAGAATTGCACAGCTGCAACTTTAAGACTCCGCACGCCTCCCCTCCGTCAGCTCCAACAATGGTCTTTTCCAGCTCCGCTTATCGCAGCAGAATTTGTAACGTGCCATAATTTCCTCACCGGTGTGTGTGCGCGAGCGTCTGTGTGTGTATGTGTGTGTTTGTGTTGGCCCCGGAAATCAGATGTCTATACCCGTCGTGGCTAATTTGGCGATTATTCCCGCTCTTAGGCTCGTGGACAATGTGCGCGGAAGAAGGGACCAGCCGCACCTTCCCGATCGGATCCTTGTCGCTTCTCTGCCCTGAAGAAGCCTCGTAGGATTGTCCGCTTCATGGTTGCCATAGCTGGAGACTGCAGTTGTCATTGATCCGCTGCCAGCCACTCATAGTGAAGGAATAAATTGTGAGTATGCACACTGTTGCCGCCGGTTTTGCGTTGACCTACATTGCCCTCCTTTCCTGCATCCTCAAGGTGATTTTCTGCCCTCCTCGCTTCCTCAACTCTGGACTTATGGGCTTTACATTTGGGTGAGGAGGTGCAGGGGGGGATGGATGCATAGTGTATGTGGGATTTCGTGTGTGTGGTTGACATTGTGGGTGCTCTGCAGGAGGAGAGAGGAGGAAAAAAAAAACCACACACACTGCTGGGGCTGTCACAGTGGAGAGACAGAGGAGAGAGTTAAAGGGGGGAGGATGCAGACTGAGAGGCTGGCATGATGTAATGCACTTGAGACAATAGCCAAGGATTCTCCCCAATTATCATTTCAGAGGATGAGGAGGAGGTGTACAGCCGCAGTCAGTCTATGTGTGTGTGTGTGTGTAAGGTGTGTGTGTGGGGGTAATATCAGTAAAAAGAAGAGCTGTCATAGCAGGAACAGCTGCCCCTCCTATAAACAATATTATTAGCGGCTATTATAGAGATGGGGAGAGCATGAATCTCCCTTCAAACCCCATCAATCCATATCCCCACACACATCCAGACACACTTTTCATGATGTACATGAATGAATGAATGAAAAGACTCGCTCACATACATGTGCCGGCTTCATTCAAAGCTGGGGGGGTTAATCGCTGCAGGAAAAGCCGGTGTCTAAGCTCTAATCTTTGAATTAAAACCAACGGCATTCAAGAAAAATGCAGTGGGTTTGATTTTTCTGAAGTGATGGCCTGAGTGCACCCCATTTTAACGCCTCATTCTTGGTTTGCTCCATCATTCAAATACAGCCCGTTGCCTAATATGTCTGGTGTGGAGACCAATTGCCTCACAGCACCATGCAGTAGGGTGGCTACCTGTGGCAGCAGCTTTTATGTGCATACATTAAAGATTTAAGAACATCTCTTATTGGGTACACACTCTCCCTGTTTAGGCTCAATGAATGAATGAGTTAATGAATGAAAATACACTCAGAGAGGATTTATATTTTGGTTTTGAAGGAAAGATTGTTCTGAATTGTGTCCCTCCTTAGCTGGTTTTATTTGCTCAGTAAACTCATGTATCTTTATGCATTATGATTGCATGAATGCTTACGTTAGCTAAATGGGTACTTGATTTACACACAGCCATCAGCTTAGCAGTGAGAGGTATGTTTAACATGTTGTTCCACAGCAGTAGAAATGAACATGCAGCCACAGGTGGAGAGAGGAGAGCAGGGAGAGGAGCAGATGGACCAAGTGAGTTTGGAGAGTGACAGGCTAGCGAACGTTTTAAACACTTTCACAAATGTTGAAGAGTTAAATGACCCCAAGTTTCCACTGCGCCCAAAACGGCTTCAATCCGGAGATTTTCGCCGCCCACCAATTTGATACTGGGTCCGTTTTTGAGGCGAATTTCGTGGTGGATTGAAGACAAAAAGCATCGGATTCACGTGTAATTGCGCAATAACGAGTTGTCTCTATAAAGACAGCCACATAACCATAAAAGCAGTAGATTGTGTCCTTCCAGAGGAGGAAATCCACTTCTTGACTTCTAGAATCAGCATCTCCTCATCCATGGTGTCGTTGGGGTGAAAAGCTGTTATAAACCTTTCACTTGTTTGTCCCCGCCCATTTGCATGGTGTGAAATATGATCGGCCAAAGAAGCCAGATTTTTTATTTTGCGTCTGTGCCTGACTTCCTTTCCAGCACGGGTTAATCTGTGCTAAATTTATCCGGAATGCTCCGGCGTCTTGAAAAAATAGAACTCTTGTAATCAGGGGTGGAGTCCAGCGACCTGCAGCGGAGCGGACAGAAGCTGGTGGAAATTGACACATTTACTTGAATGGCTATGATAATCTACAATCAGTGGATATGGCCTTTTCGTAGCCGTTCCGTATGCGGTGGATATCGGGGGTGAGGGTGGCTTCAGTCAAATCAACAAGGAATCGTATTTCTTTATGATGATCTCAATATTAACCAAAGTAATGGTGGTTTTTGGTGTGATCAAGCATCTCTATGTACAGTAAAAGTCACAACAGTCACCATGTTAGAAATGCTAACACTATTTTAAGATTTTCATTTAGAAGTAGTGATTTTCCCATGATGCACCTCAGCATTATGTTGATTCATGCTGCAAGAAGCATCAGCAGGAGTTGACAGTTTTTCAACCCAAATATGGTTTCTACAAGATTTTTTCTGGTTTAATTTTATCCCCAGTGCTGATATGCTCGGCTGTTGAGGTTGTCCCCGCAACCTTTTGCAAGAAGTAGCCTCAAAGCTTGGTGATTTTGGGGTCTAAAAATGGGGATCTGAGTCCATACTAGAACCAGGCAGCGATCCCTTCCACTTACCTCACAATACAAATACTCCCCTGATGTGCTCAGTATGTCTGGTGCGCAGGACGGTTACTCTCAGGTGCCGCACAGCAGGGGGTCTACCTGTAGCAGGAGCTTTAATGTGCAGAAAGTGTTCATTGAAGGGCGTCTTCTCAAATCCATTTTTGACCGTTGCTGGAAACGTAAAGACGGAGGTAGAATTCAGTTGTCGGTGGCAGGCGGTACGGTTCAAATCCGTTTCAACCCGAGCTTTATTGCCTTCTTGTTCACCTCGATCTGTGCTCTTATTCAATCTCTATCGATTGATGGTTTGCATGACCTTGCAGCAGGGGATTGTGGGCGATGTTTGAGGCTACACGCCGTCCTTTTCATGCTTTCATGTGCATGCAGACTTATTCTCTTTTTCAGCACACACACAGAACCCCACACCCATGCATCCTCCTCCTTTGCACAGATGCTGGCGCACAGGTGGAGGTAGAGCACACTCACACACATGCACACACACACTCACTTGATGCACAGCCTCTTCTCCTTTTCCCTGATTCCCTAATGGCAGCATGCTGGGTGTAACTCTACACCCTCACCATTCTCATCCCTGCTCTGCTTCATTCACGTTTTTACTCCTCAGTATGTCAGTGTTCACAAGAAGATTTTACTCTCAGCAGAAGACAGAAGACAAATATTGTCAGATACTTGTCTTCATTCATGTGCAGATGTATGTTGTCATTGAACCGCTTATGGTTTGGGCTAAAAATTTCCCCCTTTATTCATTTTGTGTAATTTTTAGCTGTAGAGTAGCAAAAATTCTTCTGATACTTAAAGGGATATTGCGGTGTAAAATTAATTTAGGGTCAAACACACTGTAACACCGAGTTAGACACTCCCTTGAGAGATGAATGTTGCCGACGCTTCCTTCTCTAGCTATACCAACTTTAGTAACGACCACGCGATAGCAATACAGAGAGCCATGCGCTCAACCAAAACTCCACAAATATAGCCACAAATAATGCTCAGAACAGCACCTAACTTAATCAACAGTACATATAGGGTCCTAGCCATAGTACTAGCCACCAAACATCTTTTTAGTTTTGCCTAATTTCTTTAGTAAAGAGACTAAACACAACTCACCTACTCTCTTCCAGCAGCCGCTTGTTTGTAGTGAGACCTCAGGCAAGGCCATTATGGACTGCTGTGGGGTGACGCAGCTCAAGGAAGAACATTTATGATTATTACTTTATCATTTCCTTGAAGTAATAATCACCATATTAATCATTTTGCACTGCAGACACAGTAGTTCTTCTGCCTTAGCGTCTCAGTCTGATTGCATTTCCATCAGGAAATGATCATAAATGTTCTTCTTTGAGCTGCGTCACCCCGCTGCAGTCGATGGACTCGGCTGCTAGAAGAGAGTAGGTGAGTTTTGTTTCGTGTCTTTGCTAAAAAATTAGGGAAAGTTAAAAAGATGTTTGGTGGCTAGTGCTGTGGCTGGGACCCTATATGTACTGTTGATGAAGTTAGTTGCTGTTCTGAGCATTATTTCTGGCTATAGAGTGGTGTTTTGGTTGAGTGTGTGACTCTTTGTATTGTTATTGTGTGGTCGTTACTAAAGTTGGTATAACTAGAGAAGTAAGCAGTCGGTGACATTCATCTCTCTATTGGCTGTCTAACTCGGTGTTATGGTGTGTTTGACCCTAACTTAATTTTACACCGGAATATCCCTTTAATACAACACCATTAAAAATAATTGGAAAAACCTAAGCATCATCTGTATTTAGCCTGCTATTGCTGTACTCAGTGTAACTGCTGTGTTTAGCCTATTTATAGTTGGTTTTGGCCTTACTAATGCCAATAGCTAGCTGTTGTGCTAAGCCTAGCAGCTGCAATATTTCATTTAGCTGCTGTTATATTTAACTGGCTAATGCTGCTGTATTGAGCCTAGCTTTTAACTGTTTTAACCCTACCAGTGTTAACATAAAAAGGAGCTACTTTGTGACTTTGTTTTCAACTCCTAAACTGGAGCACAGTCAGCTGGTGGGTTGGACATGGGGTTTTATCCCGAGGTAAAGAAAATGGATGATTAAACAAGCTTCTGCTGTACATGGTGCTACCTCCCTGCCTCAAACAACCAAGAAGACATCCCAGCTCAGTGCTTTTTTTGTTCGTCTTGTGCAACATTTTATCATGTGAGAACATGCCTTAGTTTATTAGTTTCCAGTATCCAAAAGGCTTGTAATGTCATACATTGACCACATTCTCCACCCAAACCACATCAGCTAGCATCAACCCACATTAGCTCTGCACAGACTTGGTCTAATAGATATGAATGTGTGTTTCTTTGGTGCAGGGGGCCATATGAATGGGATTTCTCAGCACTACATGCAAACTTGCTTTTTCCATTCATAAAAATGCTGTGTCATTCTTTCCTAACCTGGATTGGCTGCATGTATACGGACGCCAAAGTGGGAAAGAGCAGTGTGCAACAGTTTCCCCATTACCCTTTATGCTCGTCAGTGCAGTCTGTGGATGCACTTTGTGCTCAGCGGCATGCCAAGAAATCAAACACAGACATTATTTAAAAGTGGAGTTTCCCAGTAGTCAGCTCCCTTGGCAACCACATAGCGGCATGTGTAATCAGCCTTTTACTTCTGCATTATCATCAAAACAACTGGTCTGACACTTGGACTCATGTTGTGAGAAAGTGAGCTGTAATGAGCCTAATAGGGTGTTACAAATGTTTGAAGAGTTGACCTCAGATTTGATAAGAGACTGGCTTCCTAATGGGACTCCTTTTTTTTGTTCTCCTCGTTTCTAAATGACCATCTCCTCACTTAATGAGTTACAAAATTCCACGCTTGAGGATAACAAGCTCTAAACGGACTATTAAATAATGCCCGTTTTATTTTTAGTCTCCAAAGTCAGCTCAACAAGCATTCAGTTGTACCGCTTATCTCCAAAGCCGCAGAGCGTCGTGTTCACTCCTCTGCTCACTCTGCTCTCCGAGCGTCTTTTGATGTTTCCCAGGTGGTGAATGGTGCTGAATTTTCCTCGCATTGCCATACATTGCACAGGAGCATGCTGTTTTTCTGTGTGTGCTGCCTCTTATCTACCCCCACAATTGTCCCCATTAATAAGATTAACTGGAGACATTCAGGAAATTAGCTGCAGTTGGCTGATTTGTTCTTTAGGGGAAAATGGTGTTCGACATAAGTGGTGAAATTTACATCTGGCTTGTATAGACTGTTAACGTCTGGCTTTAGTTTTACTCAGCACAACCCCATGCTTTCAGGGCTTCGTTTTCTGCGCCCTAACAATAGATAACAATCTGAAAGGGGTTTATTTTTAGAAGATCCAACCCAGACTTGATTTACTTGAATAACGTAAGCCACAGCAAGAAACTTGAAGTTCCATAAAATCGAATAATTTTGATTTTAAATGAGGCAGGACGAGTGGAGGAGTACATGGCACGCTACTGCTGGAAAAGAGGTTTTTGTTTCTAAATGATGAGGCTTTTTAAAAATCTTACCTCCTACAGAACATCAGTGTGGGGCAGCTTCGGTATATTAAAGCTGGTGTAATCAAGAGCTTTGTTGTTGTCTGGGGAGCATCTGAAACCACTTGTTGAACATTAAAATTGGTGAGATTGCAGCTTTAGTTTTCAGACATCGTCTGAGTTACACAAACATGGTGCATCTGAGGTTTGTAGGATTTGACCTTCTGTCTCAATCTCTCGTGGTTTTTGGCTGTAAAGAAAGAATAAACTGCAAAAACTTGCGTGGGATCCGCTGTGTTTGTGAGAATTTCTCAAAATATCAACTTCAAGGAAATATAAACCACATTAAACGTATCGAGGTCTTAATTCAAAGTATAACAAACCACAAAAAAGAACCTTATTGGAACTTTTCCATGTCAGTACTCCACGTTTACATAGGCAGAATTTTAAATCCGATTAAAAATTTGAGGGATCGGATAATCTGAATCCACTGTTTGAATGGGTGCAAAATTAACTAATCCGATCATGATGTGCGTATACATGCGCCAAGTTTTATTCAGATTAGAAGCATTTGGACATATGCAGAGTTGTCTGATTTCGCTAAAACAACTGCAATTATGTTGTATTTATGCCTGTGCTGTCAACAAACCAACAAACGCGGTAGTGGCTCACTCACTTGTTCGAATTCAGGATTTTTCTCCTGTTAAATGTTGTCACTGCATGGCGCCCTTGTGTACTTATTTTACTGTTCTGTCAAAGGGTTCACTGTGCGTGCCGATGTGACATCATTACACTGTATGCACGCCTTGTTATACTATCGGAGGAGCAAACACGGCAGAGTGTTAACAATGAACCCTCCTGTACTGGCCTCAATAAATAAAGAGTGAAGAGGTAAGAGAGTCAAGATCGGAATAAGTGTTTACATGGACGCGTTTCGGAATAACGATCGGCATAAACCACCCCTCTCGATCGGAATACAATTTCTTTCCGATTGAGCCGAATTGGATCAGAATCTTCCGATCGACATGTTTACATGACGCATTTTTATTCTGATCAGGCATTTATTCCGATGATTTGTGCCAATGTAAACGAAGCTATTGTTGGTGCAAATAAGTATCTTCGCCTTTTGTACACAGCTGTAACATGATGCTTCTTAATAAGACACTGTGTACAATGTTCTTCTTTGGTCTCCGACACAACAGGCTGATGACACACTACTGCCACCTACTGACCTGCCATAACTGTGTGTGTTGGAAACCTGCCCACATGCACAGTGGACGATGACGGGCATTTCATCTCAGTTTCTGCTTGTCTGGAGTTTTCTCTGCAACTTCAGTCTGAAACCATCTATCCGAGCTTGTACAGGGCAGCTATTAGGAAAAAAAAGGTGTTGGATTGGATGCCCTGATTGGGAGGAAACCCTCAATCTTATCCCCGTGAATAATTCATTGATTGGCATATGGCATGGAGAGAGAGAAGCCCAATCATCCCTGCTTGCCTGCTTGTCTGTCTGTCTGTGTCGACATCTTATTGCATCTACAGCCCACAATGTGCTCAATTGAGCGTGCGCTGCTGGTCCTCCCTCCCGTGATTCCTGCATAATTTCAGACTCACGTTTGACATCATTAATCAGCCGCGCTACCTTCACTCACGTCAGCGTCGTCTTGTTTAAACAGAGTTCTTCGTCTGTGGCTGCAAACATGCATTTCTCTGCACGAAGGCCGCTCTCACTGATAAAATCATACGAATTTTATATTTGTCATGCATTTATGCTAAGTCATAGTCTGACACGCTGGTGGAAGCTGAGGGCTGATTTCCTGGCGTGCATTATCATAATGTGCCGTGATGTTGCGTTCCGTCGAGTGACGCTCTATCAGCTCTTTTTCCAGGCTGGATGAACATTCGTAGACCATAAAACTATTGTAATAGGGGCCATATTGGCCGCTCTGTTACAGGAAAGGATAATTTTTCACTTCTAGCAAGTGCAATCCAGCTGACATCTGGCAAGTAGCTCTCCGAGAACACACTGTGGATGATAAGTGTTTATATAGCAAAGATTACACTAATTCTCACCTATAATCCCTGCTTCCTGCCTGCTTTACACTAAAGAGAAACTTGCTGCTTAAACATTCACTCCACTGACAAATACTGAGCAGCGCAGGGGCAGAATTTCCATCCTGAATGTGACATTTCAGAAGAGCGATGCTTGTATCAGCATTTAGCTTGGAGGCAGACAAAATGTACTTCCCTTTTCTTCCTCTGAATCTTAACTTTAACCAAAATGACAGGCCTGATGCCTTCTTAAATTACTCAATTAGTGGGATGAATGTTGTACTGAGTGACATGGTTTGCTTTCACATCTCAGGAAGGCTGCATTATGCGTTCGAGAGAGCAGACAAAAGCACTTTCCCTCCGTGTCTATTGATTTTTCATAGACAGAACCGATGATTTGAGGGGCAGTCACAGTGAGATCAGAGCATACGGTGCAGGGACAGGACAAAAGGGGATTGTATTTGCCATGAAGCAGGAAAACGTTTTGATTTCTACGCTATTTAAAAAAGGAGTAAAACCACTATCGAGGAACAAAACTGTGCAGCTCTGTTTGTTGGTGCAGTGTAGAGAAAAGAGACTGATGACCAGTGCAAAGATTACAAATATGATTTTGTAGGGCTTGTAACTTCCGCGATGTGGAATCACAGAATTGGGCATCAAACCAGAAAATGTGGAATTGGTTGAAATGTGTGTTTAGCCCCCTTTAAACTTGACCAAAATTCCTGAAAATTTTCCCAAATTACCAGAATAAGCTCAACAGAGTTTTTCACCTCAACTTCCCAAGGACTACTTTGTTCAACCCTCCTTGTACCAGTCTAGTTTCAGTAACACAGACAGGATTGTTTATTCCTCCGTATTTCTACTACGGTAATGGATTAAAGGTGGGGTAGGCAGGATCTGACTAAGTCTCAGTTTTTGGGAGAAATCTTGAACGTAAACTCTACCCCTCCCAACCAGTTTTCCCCTCAGCTCCTCCTCTCCCCTCCCTCTCTGCTCCGGCAAGCCCCGCCCACAAACAGACACTCCTGCTTGCTTGAATTGTTTTAATTAAATTCAGATATAATGCAGATAAATACTTCAGATGATTACAAATGGGGCCCAGTCAACAAAGTATTGGTGCTACTGTAGATGCCAACAGATTACCAGCAAACACAATATTTGTAGGACTTCTAAAACTAGGATAAAGTGACATAGTCCAGGACCCGAGGTAAACAGTTTAGCGGCACTACAACACGCAGCAGGTCCAATTTGACGAGAAACACTTGGTTTACTTTGTTAAAGCGGTTTACCTGTCCATCAGAAAGGTTACAGGGTCCAGAAGATCCTGAAGCGTCCCCCTATTGTTTATGCTGATGTTGATCCATTTTCTTAGCTCTTGTCCGGTCTACCTCCGTTTTAAGTGCCTGTTATTCCGCCAGAGTCTCCGGTATTTACTTTGTTTTATTGCTTATGTTTTCTGTACTTTCTGGTTGGTTTCTACTGTCCGATATTGTAGCACACTAACTTTGTTTGGGCTCGTGCATGTTATTGGAGAACGTGCCTCACAACACGAGGGAGCAGCGTCTGCCTCACAACCAATCAGGTTGGGGAGGCGGAGAATGGCTTTGTTTACAGTCAGAAAGAGCGGGTTGCTCAAAAAATTAAAATGTTGACTACACAGACATAACAAAACACAGTGATATCATTATTGTCATCAGTAGCTAATAGCTATTGACTGATATTAAAAGCTTTTTGGATATACACCACAAAAAAAGATGCTTCCTTAACGGAATCCTGCCTACCCCACCTTTAAGATACGTCTCTGCTTTTAACTGTTCTATTGGTTACACCTGTGTATGAAACAAAGCGCAGTATTTTAATGAAAAGGATATTAGCAATGTGTCATATACAAGAAGTTATGTAAGGTTAAAATAAGAAGCCGACATACTTTCTGAAGTGAAGCAGTAAATCAGGATGTTTTTTTAGTGAATTGACTGTCAGCAACATAAACATGTCCAACCCACCCTGAATACTTTCTGCCTTAGGTTTGTTTGTATATCTGCTGTCAGCCTCTATATTCGTATGGGTTTGAATGCGCCTTCCTCTTCCTGCGCTACGACCGTGTATTGAGTCAGAGTCAGGGAATAAATCACTACCTTCTACTTAAAATGCACCGCTGATGTCCCAGGCTGCTCCTTGTTGGCCTGCTCTGCGAGCAAAGGCTGGCACGTGCAGAGCAGCACACAGGCTTGGTCTCTCAGGTCTAAACAGCAGCGAATGGTGGCTGAATGGTAAACTGGTGAGAATCTGGACGGGTGCCTGGAGAAAATATGGGAGACCAGGTCTTACTGCCAGAACATGCTGAGACACAGACCTCGCATTTTAACCCACCCAGAGGGGACAAAGTCTGGACCATGGGATATTGAAATCTCACCGGGTAAATCTGGCAAGAGCCAACCGGGCTGAGTAATTACAATTTACAATCGAGAGAAAATCAAGTTATCGCTATCTTTAAGTTTAAGTTTAAATATGTTTGGTTCCTTTAGCTTATAGCATCAGCCACGAATATTATGCACAGTTCCTGACTTTAAAGGATGCATTTGTGACATTTCAGTAAATTCATCTATTAAGAAATGAAACACAAAGACATTTGAGTATTACTGTTTGCTGTATTGGAAGTTAAAAAGAAGGAGATGCACACCAAAGTAGTTGACCTAGCTTGTAGCAAAAAAAAAAACGAGACAGGGTTTGTCCTTTCGGAATTTAAAACCTGTCATGTTCACATATTTTTTTACCTAGTGTTACATGTGTAGAGATGAAAGAGAATGAAACACAGTGGTTTGGTTTGATATTTAAATACAGAAAAGAAAAGAAAAATTCAGGTAGTTTAACTTTCTTTTGACAGTATTCAGATTTTTTTTCGCCTGATTTGAATAAAAACTCCATAAATCTGCTTGTAGCTCAGTTTTCAGTTTACTTTGACGTCTGATAATGCAAAACAGGTTTCAGACCACAAACAGCCATATTTTGGTTAGGATAAATCCTTCTGAGGTTTCCGAGGTCCCTGGGGGAAGCTGGAATATTGCAGAACATACCCACCATAGCACAGATATGGTGTATTATGCAACTGGCCATTAAGCAGCACAAGCGTGAAATCTGGGGCAGAACGCCCAGCCTCCCAAGACGTCTCTGCAGCTTTGAATGCTGGGATGACACTGAGCTGAGCTCCAACTGTGTCAGGCCCGGTCGAAGAGGCACACATCAGTGTAAACAGAAGTAGTGGCTATTCACACATGGAGTTAACAATGGTGTAACTTCAAATTTGGTTCTTTTGTGATATTTTGTTTTATGGACAACTCTTAGTGAACTTTGTTTCAAGAAAAGGGTCAATATGAGTTTTCATTTTTAGGAAGAATTTAGCAGATTCTCTATCTGAAGTTTTTAAAAGTTAAAGGGATATTCCGGTGTAAAATTAATGTAGGGTCAAACACATCATAACACAGAGTTAGACAACCCCTCGAGAGATGAATGTTGCTCACCGCTTGCTTCTCTAGTTGTACAAACTTTAGTAACGACCGCAGGATAGCAATACACAGCGGTCTAAGGAGCCACACGCAAACCTCAACCAAAACACCACTCTATAGCCACAAATAATGCTCAGAACAGCACCTAACTTCATCAACAGTACATTTAGGGTCCCAGCCACAGTACTAGCCACCAAACATCTTTTTAACTTTTCCTGATTTCTTTAGCAAAGAGACTAAACACAACTCACCTACTCTCTTCCAGCA